CCCAATTTGTATACTGCTCTTTTCCAGGTTAATATGATGGTACAATTAGGTTACAATGTTTGCTTTTGTTAGGTAAAGTCCCTGTTGTAATTGTGTCCCACAGCCAGGAGGTGTGCCACATACCCTTACATCCTGTCCATTAGTGGAGAGCACACAATTCCCCCTCCCTCCTCACCCCTCCTCCCAACTTGGATTCAGTTTTCCCTCGGTGTGGGCGTGTGTTACTTTGTCTTTGGGCTTCATATTAGATTTGAGTACATTGGATACTTGGCTTTCCCATTCTTGCAATACCTTACTACTCAAGAGTAGTCCACACTACAGTACAATGCGTATGCTGCTAACTTTTGTTATGAAGGAAATAACACTGTCTTGTGCATATGCTAAGGTTGCCCCACCTGCAGCTTTGCTCACGCTGTGTCCTTCTCTTCTCGTCACACCTTTCCATCCGGACAGTTGTCACCGAGCTGCTTGTCTCTTCTACTATAGATGGATGGACTGCCTTCTAAATTGGCACAGAGTGTGCTTCCTCACTTGAGTCCTAACCCTTCTCCCTTGCTTTACCTGGATTTGTCTCACCCTATGAATTAGGTAGGAAGTGTGTTGAGGACGAGGACCACACCCCACTCTGGTTTTGTCTCCACTGGGACAGGAATGCTTTTGCCACATAGCAAGCGAGATGTTTGGTGCCAGAGAGAACTGAGTCTGAATCCCAACTTTGAGCAATTTACTTAACCATTCATTTATTCATTCAACAAATAATGATTGAGAACCTACTATGTGCCAGCCCCTGTACTAGGCACCATGCGTGCACTGGTGAGTGCAGAACCGTGGCCTCTGTTGTCAGTGGTTATCATCTAGGGAGGAAGATGGACGTTAATACATTCTCACAAGAAAAAGGGAAACGATTACCTGCCATCAGGATAAACCTGTGGAGCTACAAGGGGCACACAGGGGAGCTGCCTCACTTGGGCAGTGGGAGTGGGGACAGGTCACAAGCTGCCCTGAGCCTTGGTTTCCCCAGTTGGACAAATGGAGGTAGCAGCCACCTAGCTCACCGGATTATTTTTAGAGGATTAAATAAGATAACAGTAGCCATGCCAAGCACTGAAAAATGTGCAGTTAGTGTTACCATAACCGAGGCTGGTAGGTTGACTAGCTGAGAGGTCAAGTTGAGGAGGAAGGGGTGGGGCATACATGAGCCTTACCTGTACTCAGAGAACCCCAGGACAGTCATTCCCTGGCCCATTTTCCATCTGAGTCAGCTGGGAAACTTGAAAATCACAGGCTTTTGCCCTCCACTCCAGACCCACTGGCCCATCAAAACTTCCCAGCCTGGGGTCTGCATATTTAACAATCCTTAACAAAGGCCTCTTCTACAATTACAGGTTTAGCACACATTTATCATGAAATGCAAAGTTATGAAAAAAAAAGAAGGAATTTCCCTCAGCTCCCTCCCCTCTGCTCCAGGAGGCACCAGGGTCAGACACCTGGTACAACACATTTTCAGCATTCCAGCTCTATCAGTGGTCATAAAAAGGAAACTCACAGATAAGCACTTACTTGTGGTTTGTTCTCTGTAAAACTATCCTCCTATCAAGTGTCTTCCTCTTGTTTCTTGC